ACAACTGGACGGTATGGAAACTGAAGAAAAATTGGAGAATTATTTTGCCATTAAGTTGGAAAAAAAATAGGAGACAATTTCAATGGGCAGAGGTGAGTGAATGCAGAGTTCTCAGATGTTGGGAAATTATAAGGAAGTTCTTATAAATTATTGTGAGTAAAAAAGTTACTATTTATTTCTCTGTCCCCAATTCTGGACATACTTTGGTTTTAGTATGTGTTTTTATTTTTCATGCTTAATGAAAAATGAAGTGTTTGCTTTTACCATCGTACCAGAAGATGATGCTAGTTCTTAATGCAAACATCATCTTCAAGCTCATTAATAACAGTCATGTGTATACAGGAAGCAATGGTTATTCGGAGGGCATTTTGATTTTAATTCTTAGTCAATGTTCTGATAGTACACATGGGGGTTCAGGGTAGCATGTGTGAGTTTAATATTTTGCTTGATATGTTATATGTAATCTGTGTAATTTGTCTTGTTTTATTCTAATTCTAGGCCCTATACCATCATACGTCTGCAGTCCCATGACTTTTCCTTACAGTTGCTGTGCTGGATTAAGCAGCTCAATCCCTCCCCCCATCTTCACTTCTTCACTTCCTGGCATTATACCCTTCATTGCAAAACTACGGCTGAAGTGGATCAGGGAACTGAGCCAGGTGTTCAGCATTTCCCCCCTCTTGGCTTTTCATTCCCACTGAGAGGAGAACCATAGCTCAGTTCTCTGGATGCAGTTTTGCTGGTCTGATACATAGTTTTAGATTTACATGATCCAAAATTGGTTACTTGTAAATTACTTTAGTTGAAACATGAATGTAGTATAAACATGAATATTTTTAATGTATGTTAGAGACTTGCAATAGAAGTATGCTCTCAGATTTTTATGTCTTTATTTGATAAAAGGATGCAGAAGGCAGAGACTGCAGAGATGACTGATGAGAAGGCATGGGCTGGTTGGATTAGGATTATTTTGGAAAAAGGCTGTTAAGAGAAACTGAATTGCTTTGGCCATTTTAGAATTGTAGTAACAAATGTTGGTCCATGTCTAAAAAAAAAGTTACAATACTTTTTGTCATTTTTTTCTGATACATGGCTTGATTTTTTCTTTATAAATGACTTGGTTTTGTTGGAGGCTCTGATTCCTTTTTCATTATCATTGTTCGGATGTATTAGTACTTGCTTTCACTAAGCCAATTCCCCTTGAATCTGTGAATACTCAGAAATATTTCAAAGGCTCTGTGCAGTTTTAAATGTCTGAATAGAAAACAGAAAAGCCTGAAAATTAATGTGTTAACAAAAACCTTCTGAAAATGAGTTCTCAGTCATCCAGAGAGGAGTTTATCTTTCTTTAAATTTTGGTTTTAATAAGAGTATACACTCCTGTGTGTTAGTAATAAATCACACATGCCACTTAGTGGTGTCATTTTGATTTTATTTTATAGATTATTAAAGTGTTATAGGTATTTACACATTTATTAGAGCAGTTATTCAATTTTTATTTCTTTCAACTGAAAGTGGATACAATGGTAATATTGCAGGTTTTTAAATTTTGGGGCCTAAATATTTGGCTGTGCGTTAGCACAAGAATAAAACATTGCAGAATTCATTGGCAGCTCTGAGTATCCGTCTGCTGAGAAGAAAATGATTTGCTGTTTTTCATCAACTAACTGTGAACATCTGTAAGGAACTGCATGTTTCGTTTCAAGTCGTTGCATTACGGAGTTCAGCTCTGCTGTGGAGGTCGGTCGGTCTGTACCCCAAGTGCCAGTGCACTCGCTGCTCTCAGTGAGGGCGGCCAGGGAAGTCCATTCTTAGTCATCTTTCACTAAGGTTTGTACAGCTGCGAAAGAGGTGTTAGACGATTAAGGAAAACACTGAGAGGAAAAAAAAAAAACCCCAAACAAAAAAAAATATTCCCCAAACCCAGCTAACGACATGATCTCTGTGGATAGGTTGGGGGCATGGAATACTGATTTCATTGGTTTCTGCTGTCTTGTGCTGTGCATGTTTGGACCCGCTAAAATTTACTCTCCTATACTTTTCCTGTTTTCAAGTAGAAAAAAAGATAGGCATTATGTGTTACCCTGTTCCCAAGATACCCTGAATTCCCAAGAACGATGAGAAATATTATTGCATGAAACTTATTGCAGTTTTATTTTGTAGTCTGAACAGCAACTTGCTTAATAAAGAAAAGCAGATATGACTAGAACAAGTGGGTTGTGGGGTTTTATTTGTGGGGCCTTGGGGTTTTTTTGTTGTTTGTTTGTAGGTTTTTTGGTTGGTTGGGGTTTTTTTTCTTTGCCCCTGTAGTTTGAATTGCTTGTTGACGTAGTAATGCTGGCATGAAATTCATGTAGTGCTCTAGAGTGGTTTTTTCTTGAGAAGAACTTAATTATATTTTTCATTTTGTTCCCACACCTCCAGATACTTAACTGGAAGAAAAAACCCCAAACTTTCATTACTTATTTTAATGCTTTAGTCATTCTTAAATTTTTGTTTAATACTGACCCTACCTTAAAATGAGTGTCATCTTGAGTCAGTTGAGTCTGGGCATAATTTGAGCTGAGTCGTATCTTAATGTATTCCTATTTGACTTCAGCCTATGTTTTCCTTTGACTAGGATATCCTTGTTGGCCAAACTAAATGCATGCAAGCCATGTAGAACAGAGCAACCAAACCCCCGTTATGTTCATGTAATGTCATAGATTATATTGATACCACTCACATGGTTTCAAGTTCTATGGGAGATTATAGATAGCGTAAGAACGAGTGGAAGTTAGAATTAAAAAAAGTAACAACTCTTGAAAAGTAACCAATTGCACTTTTGTCTCTTTTTTTCTTTCTTTCTTTTTCTTTTTAACAGCTGTGTTTACAGTCTGTCTTCTGTAAGAAATTGTTAGTCTATTAATTGTTGCCTGCTTGCTAATAACAGTGAATTCTGAAGTCCACTCTCCTTTTTGTGTTATCTGAGGGCAGGTAGTCAAGAAAGCAGACACAAGTACTTTGCTTCCCAAGGCCCTTTATCTCCTGTAGGGCTGTAACCTTCAGTCGATAACAGAAGTGGTCTTTTTTGTAACGGGTGAGGGCTAATGACTTTCTCTGGCTACTTGACTTACCATAGGTTTTAGCAATGTCTGCTGTGAGGCATCTGAACTTGGGTGAGACACCTGGCCAGTGGAACGGCTTTAGGGACCTTCTGTTTTCAAGAGGTGTTTGAGGGGACTGTTCTCCCACTCAGCTCTTCTTGTTGGGGTTCTGCAGGGCCATGTTTTTTGCATCTTCTGTGCCACAGATGAATATATCTTGTGGGTACATGGGGTGAATAATTATGATGATACTAAGCATGGTGTCAAAACCATACCACTTCTCTTCCCCCTGAATTTGGTTTGGAATTTTTGCTATTGTAGAGCTTACCCAAGCCTAATGAATATGCTGTTGGTGTGTGCTGCCTGGTATGATCAATTAAACTTCATCAGCATCTTGGTCGTTCTCTGTGGGATGCAGTTTGCTAACCTGTTGAATCCTGTCACTACCGCAGTGCTGTTAGCAGAAAAACTGAATAAACTCTTGTACTTTATCCATGTTAGGTCAGAAAGCATGTAGCATCTTTTTTTGTACTGCAGTCCATATTTATCTTTCCAGTGTTTAAGCAATGCAGAGAGTTGATGTGAAGTGCCTTGGGGTCCTTGCATCTCTATGAGTACTTTTAAAAAATATGCAGGTATAAACTATGACCTTGGAATATTTCATAGGTCTTTTGAACTTGAAGCTAGTAACTGTTATGTACATGGTTTTAATTAAAACAGATTCGTGGTACTTTGTCTGCAAAACTACTGTACAACTGCTAACAGCTTTCAGTGTTTACCGGGTATTCCGTAAGTTGACATACTCTTGTGTCAATAATAAGTTCCATCTTAGGCTGTTTTTTTACTAGTATGGCCAAGTTTTAAGAAATAAGCATAAATTCTTTACTATTAAAATGTTTCTAGTTGAAATCATTGAGATTTTTCATTTACGTGTTGTGTTGTGGCTTGGAAGTTCATTCGCTGAATTCTGGTGCTGACAGAGCATTTGTGCCTTTAGAAAAAAAGGTACATGAAGTGAACTGCCCGCTAGTCTGAGACCATACTCTCCGAGTAAAAATGCATATTTCATTTCTGCATCTTTCTGCTATTGTTAACCTCTTGTGTACATGAGCATTGGATAAACTAAACTTTCAGTGTGCTCTTTTGATGCACTTGGTAACTAACAAACCACTAAGAAGTTGACATTCCGTTTATTACTGCATTAAGTCTTTTCTCTGCTGAGAATTAAGAACACAGAGCAAAAGTAGTAAGTAATACATTCTGCTTAATTGATCCAGCACATACTATTATTTTGTGTGAATATGTTCGTATTGATGCATGTTATGTGTTCATAGTAGAGCAAAAAATCCTTGCTGTGTTTCAGTAAAATTGATTTTGCTGTGGAAACTGTCAACACGGGGTAATGATTGAATCTGAACACTTATTTGCAGAATTATAGTCTTGCTGTGTATTCATATACATATTCATGTATATTCATATAGAGTTATAAATGACACGGTGTTTTTAAAAAATACAAATTAATCAAGCTTGATCTGTTTGATGACAGTTCTTTCATCCTTCTTTGGAGTGCAAGTTAATGATGGTGAATGTCAGCCTCCAGTGAAAGTAGTGGTATATCGTAGAATTAAGTATGGACTGCTATTGTGTTTGCCTTCTCCACTTCAGCCTGGACTTTTTTGGTGAACTTTGTTTTCTTAATAGCAGGTGATGCTTAAATTATTTGTATAACATGTTGTTGAAGATCTCAAACATACAGTTATAATACAGTTCCTATAAGGGGTTCATTTGTAAATTTGATCTCTTTTACAAAAATTGTATAAATGTTGCTTTCCTTTAAAATTGATCTTCCAAAAGAAATCCTGTTTTGTATAATGAGATGCCAGACTCACAAAGATTTCCTTTCTTGTTTCATAGACGTTCCATCTTCAGAGCAGCCTGAACTGTTCCTAAAGAAACTTCAACAGTGCTGTGTCATTTTTGACTTCATGGACACGCTTTCAGACCTTAAAATGAAAGAATACAAGCGCTCCACTCTTAATGAACTGGTGGACTACATTACAATAAGCAGAGGCTGTTTGACAGAGCAGACTTACCCTGAAGTAGTTAGAATGGTGAGTTCCTTCTTTCTCATGGTCTCTTTAAATCCGCTTGCAATTCCAATTACACATTGTGGGCGAAATTGAACCCTGGAGTAGGTGGATTAAATGAGGCCTTTGGTTTGTGTTTTCTACTAGACATCACTTGGGAATAATTCTCCAAAGACAAAAATATTAATTTTTATATATGCTTAATTAACGTCAAGTAGATGATGGTTATTAGAGTGTCACAAATGTATGAAAGGAAACCTGGATTGTTTCCTGATGGAGAAAGCCAGCAGCCATAAAATCAGAGTCCCTCACATTTCCCCCACCTACCCTCCCTCTCCCCCCCAGTATAAATAACGAAATAATTTTTGCAAGTTTCTTTCTTTGAACTTTATCCAAGCTCTTGAGTGTGTATTTTAGGTGGAGATAGCGTAAAGTGTGCACAGATAATTATTTTTAAATAATAAATTCAAAAAATGTTGTATAGGATCAGTGTGAAAATTTCCTGGTTGTATTATGTGGATTCATAGCAGCTGCTGTTAGTGAGCAAGATTACTCAAGAATAAAGCCATACCTTGTATATGTAAATTGTCAAATAATAGTGTTTTCAGTGTAAAAATGGAAGCAGTACCAGATGCTATCTATATGGTGAAGAACATTCATTACAATTGGCAAAATCAATCACTGCTTTAAAATGTTTGTTCCGTACAACCATACGGTACCCTTATAACCTGTTATTTAAACGAGAAGGCAGTTAGTTAAATATAGATTTGGCAATTTTGGTTTCCTACTGGTGCTTTGTGTGATCATGGAATCCACTGGCCATGTGCTGTAAGAAGAAAAACATGAATAGATTTTACATTGCATTGTATGTGTGTGTTCCTTATTGCTTTTCTGACACACAGATACATGCTGTGTCACTTGTCTGTAATATTTAAAAATAGCTGTAAATTGTGACAGAATCATAAGCAGTTAATAGTGAAGAAAAAAAACAGAATTAAGGGTGTATGGAAAAATCCTAATATGGCTGCTTTGTGTTTATGCATTGTCAGAAAGCCTATAATTGTGTGATCAGATTATGCCCCTTCTCCCTCACCCTCCCCTTCTCCCTTCTGTACTGGACCAATCTTCTGAATGAACTGCTTTTCAGTCTGTTGTGTTATTTGTTCAGCATGTGGTCTAATGCACCGTTCAAATACCCATCTGAGTACAGAATTGGTAGTTCTTTGCTGAATTCTTCTGCTGGTGCTGCACTGTAGTGTCTGAATGGTTTGCAAATGTTAGTTTAATCTTTCTTGTGTCCTTTGTGATGAACACATTCTGTCATATCCTTTGTATAGACAAGACACTGATGCACAGGTAACTTCAATAGAGTTGGGTACTTTTTCTATGTGTAGAAAATGCCTCCAAACTCCCCTCCTGGGAGAATTTGGTATTTATTTTTAGCAGTTCTATTACTGAGGTTGTATTCTCGCATTGACTTTGGTTATAGTTGTTTACTCCAGCAACATTTGTAGAATAAAGACTCTTCAAGTTAGTGTTGTCTTAGGTTGGGCCCCAAGAAACAAGAAGAATTTGATCTGTAGCTGTTCATAAAGTTCAATTTGAATCATAAATCATAACATATGAAACAAACTGAACTTGAAGTGTAGAAGAGACGCATAACTCCTTTGGTAACACATCCTACTGTCCCTGCAGTCGCTTGTGTTGATTCACAAAACTGTTTTTATCTCTTAACTGTTTTTATGGTTTTAAATAATGTTATTAAATATAGTCTGTAACTATGAAATGGAGGAGCCACTGGAAGGAAAGATACAGCGTGAGATACAGCGTGAATTTTTCCAGTGGATTTCACAGATATTTGCTAATGGAGCTTCAGGAATTCCCGTTTCAGCTTAGCTCGTTTTTGATGGAAAACTGTTCTATCTTCTTCTCTCCAGTATTCCCCTGATCCTTGCACTGTGTCATGCACTTCGTCATCTTACTTTCTTCTGTCTTGCGTTTGGGCTCCAGTGCTGAATTCAAGCTGTGTTTTCTCTTCAGTGCCAGGGTACTTAATCAGGGGAGGACTGAGAATATTCTCAGGTCCTGTATCTGGCTACTCAGTGACCCCCAACTGCCCAAACCTGGATTTTTTACAAATAGAAAGATGCCTAGGTAATTAGGGAAGTAGATGTGTCTTTTCCTAAAGAATTTATTGAGAAAGTTACATTATTTTAATTTTGTAAGAAACTCTAGCCTGCAACAGACATCTATATAAGCTCTTGGAAAGAAAGTTTCAAAATTGGAAAGTTGTCATACCCTGATTGTGCCTGTGACAGCTGGTAGTGTTCTTGGTGCATGTGCTCTTGGAAGAACACTGTGGTGGTTGTGTTCCATGTGAGCAGGATGCTGTGCTCCGGTATTGAATTTATGTGAGTGGATCCATGGCAAATGCATGAATGATTTCTGTCGATCATCCCAACGAAAGCTAATGCACTGTTTCTACTAAAGCACATCATCAGAGCTTTTGTGCATTGCAGATATTTTGTATTTTACAGATAGGCTACCTGGTAAAAAGTTCTATTTTTCCTTCTGGTCTTTGCCCATAAAATCAAGACAACTCTATCACTTTGAGTGCAGTTATAGAGGCCCTAGAGGGAAAGGTAGGACTCCTAATATTATGCAAAATAAGTTTTCAGCACATACTGTGTGGTGAGTAGACGGCATTAGTTGCTTATGCTGAAGCATCTTTGGTGTAACTCATTCTTTGCAGTTAGTCTATGTTCTTATTTCATGCAGAATTGTGCTCATAATCGTATACTGAGACAGACTTAGCTGTACGCAGTTGGCTTAGTGAGTGCAACTGCCATCTTTATCTACTTCTGAGGATTTTCATCTAGGTCTCCAACTGTGTTCACAAAGGAGCTGTCAAGTTGCCAATCTCTGACCTGTCATGATAGTGAAGAAAACAGCAGTGTCTATGTCCTGACCAAATTAGCGTCCCCATTGACTGCCTGCCACAGCTGTCATGGGAGTGTTTTGGCTGAAAGACCAGTGTCTCAAAACTGATCCAAATGGAGCACAGGTGTTCTTTGTGCCTTTGGAAGGTCTCCTCCCTGTTATGTTTCATTTTTATGAATCCAGGACTTAATATTCCCTTTGGGCTACTGTGATGTGGAGGTGAAGCGAAGTGTTATAAAGAGGTGAAAAAGAAAGAAGCTGTTTTGTGAGTTTTGTTGTCATTCAAGAGCAGAAAAAAAGGCACACCGGTCTGAAGCTGGCATTTGAAAAGTAACTAATATCTATAAAGAAGGATTAAAGGCTAAAGTGCTTTCTTACCTTATTTGTCTAAAATGTCCAAAAAAGTGTTAACCTGTGGAAGAATCTTTATTGTTTTGAAGTTTTATAACATACATGTATATTAGTGTTCTCTGTTCATGACCCAAAAGGTGTTTAGTTTTACAGATACTAGGGTAGAAAAAGGTTGCCTGTAGAGTTTTTTAGAAACTGATATTTTTAGTTACTTCTCAAACTCTTACATCATAACACCACTACATTTAAAAACCAGTCATTTGTGGCAGCCAGCATAACAGCTCCTGGATATTCTTACTGCCAGTCATCCTAAATTCCTGCCATTAAAACCTTAATCCCTGATCGTAACATCACGTATTTTCACCTTGTTCTCTTGAGCATATGATAGATGATGTTGAATGTAGCTAAATGTGAAGTCACTTGGCTATTTGTCAACCTCTGTGCATGTCTACTTCTTTAAGCCATTCTTTTTAGCTCGATATGTCCAAAAGTGCTTGGCATGTTATTGGTTATTTTCAAAAATAAAATAAAATTGAGTTTACTAATGGCCACCAAAGCAAGCTTGCAGTGGCCTCGTCACTGTCATCAATATCAGTTGATGGGAAGGGCGGTTGGGATTTGTGTTAATGGCCGTAAGCTGGACAGATTTATTCAGGAGGGTATTGCTCATTGCGCTTCCCCTGCAGTGTGATGTGTTGATCAGAAGGGCATATGACATCCTTTAGAATTAGGCTAGTCTTAGGAAAAAAGGCCCTTGCCAATTAAACGACTCTCTGCTAAGAAGGAAATGCCAGTAATATGATTTTATGAGCCAATAATTGGACACTTAATCTAAAATTTGTTCCTGTCTGAGCAAAATGTGGAGGCTTAAACTAATGATGCTGATTTTGCTGGTAGATTAAGCAATGGTAGTTGAATGAAATAAATGTTTGCTATTATCTGTGGTATCCTAAGGGGTGTATGTAGTAGAGCTTTTTGTGTTTTCTGGGTATTAAGACATAGACTGAGGAAACTGATTTATTTCGCATAAAAAATTGAATGGGAAAAATTGACAAGCTGTTAAACTGAGAATCTGGATGAATCTCTTTGTTAGTGAGCAACATTTCAGCTCTCCTGCTTGCTTCTTCAAAAATTCTAAACCCAACCCCTGATGTTTACTGTGATGTTAATGCAACATCCATGGCCAGTTGCCAGCCCCTGAGAGATGGCTAATGAAACTTTTTGGAGATACACCTTTGAGAATGGAGTAGTATTCCTTTGTTCTCCTCTAAGTGAAGAAATGCCTTTGGCTTCCTGTTGTTGTCTCTGTCTTGTCTGTGATGAGAATCAAGTAAAATAAGACTGGGATCTCTATAGCCAAAGTGAAACATTGTATTAGATGTCTTGTGGCTCAAAAGCTGTGTTGAGCAACACAGTAAAAGAAACTTGGTTAAATGAATACCAAAAATTGCATTTTAAAGGTCAGATGCTGATTTTATTTTTTCTTTCTTCTTTTCTTCTGTTTTTTACTGAGACAAATCTAGAGGGATTGCATTCCTTTTACTGCAGGTTGGTCTCAGGAGTTTGTTTGTGACAGACCTGTTAAACATGAAGAATATCTTGTTGAGCTATGATTTTTTTAGCATGTTAAGGAACCTATTTTTAGGAAGTGTTCTAGCTGTTAGACTTCATAGGCATTTTGAACTTCTGTATTTTCTATAGCTTTAGCTATAGCTTATGACTAAGTATGACAC